GGCACAATGGAACTCATCAACACCATAAGTAGGAACTATAGTTTTGGATTTCCATTATTGTATGGTGAATGGTGATTTGAAAATAAAACTTTGTATGACTTATACACCCATGGAAATTATACCCTGTATGAAGTAAACACGCAAGCTCATCAACAGGGGGGTGCAGATATAAACTGGAATGGCCCAATAACAATATACCTTGTGTTCATTGTATTGAGCGGTCAGTGATCTTTATGTTTGTTGTAATTTGTGGTCATCTATTGTGTTTCAGATAAATAAGTACTAGTAGTTTGGGGGGTCAAAGGTTGTTGTGTAAGTGAAAGTAAAGTAGGGATATTGATTAGTTCTGGTGCTTAAGGTAATTCTACTAAATTCTACGAAACCAAGCACACTTATAGGCCTAAAGGTCTGGTTTTTTTTTCATGGTTGTGTCTGACTACATGCCCCTTATTACAACAGATACTATTGATATGTTCCTTTTGAAGCTGATCTCTCTCTTTTAATCTCATATGAGTTATTGATTTCTATAAATTCTTGTTCCGTGTGGCCGCAATAAGCATGTCAGTGTCATCAACTCCCATATACTTTATACTCCGCTTTTGATTTTGTTGACCGGAGCTTATCATTTGAGTGATTGTCTGTTATTGTCCGTTGACTTCTTCATACAAAACTAAAAGTCTGATTGCTTTGGTGTATGTGTACTAGGATAAACCTTTCTTAGATTTGTTCTTTTTGTGATGATATTTTCAATTCTCTAATTTAGAAGTAAGTAAATATTTTTGTAATTTTTGTTAAAAAGTGATATTTTGCAGTAACACAAGTCTTATATTAATTATCTCTATAGACATACATTTTAATAAGTCAAAAGTATACTCTGTTTATTTCATTCATATGTGATTGTGTTGTTGTGTATATGAATATTTATCTCCCAGTTAATCTTATAGGCAATGCGACTATGTCACTACGTCAACTAAATTTTTAATTTACTCAATTAATATTATCAAATTGAAAGAAAATCACAAATGACTACAACTAAAGGAATAATGTATCGTTATTTAGTGAATTCTGGTCACAATCAGAATCAATATTTAATTATCACAGACCAGTACATTGGTAATCCTATTTAATCTCAAGGATATATCACGTCAACACTGAATGTGTTTCTGTGGATGGCTGTATAAACATTTTTCATTCACTTTCTTAGTGAATATTTTTTTTGCAAGAATTTTTTTAAATTCATATTTTTTAATCCACCAGTACTACATGTATAACACTATCCTCAGGGGCGGAGCTACGTCGTAAGACGTTCCACGTTGCTAAGACGCGCACCACTGTACCACGTATTTCTATGGGCTCTGAGTGCGCTACTGAGGAACGCAAAGCGAAGAGCTGGTGAAAACTCGAGAAAACAACAGGAACTCAACTAAGAAGTAATCCTGAACAATCAAATTTATATGCATTACACAAGCAGAGGTAATCTTGTTACACTGTTCACCCATCAACAACCATCCCAAAGTACCGTTTTCTGAGAGTTTTCGGCCTTTGTTTTCACCGTGATGGTTTCCATGTGGTGAAAATGCTCGGATGTCCACCCACGAGAATAGCCATATTGGATAAGATAGTGTGTGAGTCACACCATTGCATAGAATGAACTCTGAGTCTAATATGGCACACTGAGTGGAGTTAGGATATACATGTACCACTAGTATGTGTTGAGTATTTTACTCAATGGTGCATGATATCACACATTTTGGCTTGTTTTATACTGGCTGGTTCTTAGTGTAAAATGCTGTACGTCTGATCATATATGTGATCTCTCTACAGTCATGCACATTTTAGTAGATCATAAAAAATTTCTTTAAGCGAAATGAATTACTGTAGTTCCCTTATACTTTTATTTCAACTTTACGTCTCCTGGAACACTGTGATGATTTTTTATTGTAGAATTTAAGGTATAGATGAAAAGGTCAACATTCATGCATATAGTAGCCAATCAGCATTGTTGTTACATCAGGTGGCATTCACAGTAGCCAATCAGCATTGCTGTTACATCAGCTGGGAAAACAATGGAATTTATCCATCCATAAAAATCTGTACAGACATGCTTGTCACTTTTATTTTCTGGACAATGTGCGTCATATTTACGTCAAACTGGAAAACTCTTTTATAGGGACACTTCAACAATGTAAAATGTGATTGAAATGTCGTCACTGTCGCCTGATATTACTTTGCTGGTATTTTTGAGTTGATGTTTTTCATACTATCTTCGTACATACGGGTACTATCCTGTTATGTCATATTCTTGTGATAAGTATCTTACTGCATTTGTACTATTTGTACTCTTACCCATCCT